GATCATACCAATATTAGGGGGGATTTATGCACAGTCATAAATTCCCAAAGTGTGCACTATGTGCTTCGAATACTGTGTGTAGTTTTTGTTTTATACAGTTGTCAGCCAGGCATCTAACTATGAAAAAATTACACTCCAAAAGACCCCAGGCTTCTTAAAAAACGACCCGGGCTTAAGCCCAGCAAGCCACCCCACCCCACCGCTCCGCCACTGCTTAAGGGGTGTTCAAATTCATAGGCTGTATCCTCCTGAGGACCCGGCCTTAGCGGTCCACGTGGGCCGGGTAGGCCAGAGGTGAGCAGCTGTGAAATTGGACGGTCCAGCCTTCAGATTTGCGTCACCAGCTGTCTCGGTGGAGTTTAGCTGTCTGCTCCTTTCTATCTAAAATATAACAGGACACAGGAGTAAACTCTCGACCATCTCACACTTCTGTTTAATCAGTTTTCTGTTTGATGTTTATTTAGCTGTGTGAAAACTAGAACTTTAATCTCAGCCAAACCGATTTACTCAGGAACAAATAAAACATTGAAATAAAAACAAACAATAACATTTTTAAGTTATTAAGTGACTTATATATCACGTTTAACCTGAGTAGCGAAAGACTGTGGGGGTCTGAAAACCATGTGTCGGGAGTTTGCCATTCTCAGCGGCTCTAGTGACCCTCGAGCTCCCGGCGAGCTATCGAGCTGGTGGGTAACAGACGTCTCCTAAAACGTTGGAGCACTTTTGCAAATATGTGACATTGTGATAAACCGAGCAGATATTTGAACTTTACACAGCTACATTCTCGCCTGAAAATATCTTAAAAGTGAAAGAGTAATAAGAGTAATATTACAACTAAGTAGCGCCCGCCATTATTGGAAACTGGAATTGGCTGGGCCGTGCAATGAATTCTGGGATATTCTGGGGAAAATGAGGACGCATTTGTCGACCACATTTGGAGGAGTCTACGAATTTGGACACCTCCATAGTTTAGCTAAGAATTCACTTTTTTTGTATAGCTGCTAACAGCTAACAAAAATCGCTCGCTCTCAAGCCAACAAATGTTCTGGTGCTAATTATAGACTGTATATAAAAGATAAACATAGCGACCTTGATGAAAAGGTCACACATTAGTTTTAAACTCTTCATAGCTTTGGACAGATTGTGTTTTGGAGTGGCCAGAGGCTGGAGGGCTAACATATTAGCTCAGCTCAAGGTAGCAAGCTTGGTTAGTACGCTAACCAACAACTCTACCTTGCAGCAGGATGGATTATTTGTAATAATATCTTCCAGAAAGCACCAACACCGATCAGCTGTAGCTGCCTAGTTTGAGACACCTGTCATTAAAAGCAGCTACAACCCCGACTTCAGTTTCAAGATGGCTGTTAAAAAAATAACAACTCGCTCATGCTCTAGTAGAAACTGAAGGACTTTTTGTACCAATTCTACATTGACCTAATGTTTAAGCCCCAGAGGAGACAGCTTGATGGTAATGAGACACATGAATCAAGAATGGAGACATTGATCAGTAAATCAATGGTTAATAAGTGTGCTGTAAAAAATGAAAGAGTGACCTAGGAGAGGCTAAAAGTTAAACAAAATGGCACTACTGGTGATTTATTTTCTCTGTTACTTGTTATTGAATCACCCACTGATGTATACTGTTGGTATTCTCCTTATTAATGAAAAATCATTATAATATTTATCTTTTTTGGTGTATTTTAAATATCTTTGATCTTACTATGACGATTTTCCTGTTATAGCGCTCCATAAATTGTATTCCAGGGCTCTAGAGTGCGACCAATTTAGTCGCAAATGCGACCAAATTTTTCAATGGTGCAACTAAAAAAAAAATCTTAGGTCGCACCGGTGCGACCAACTTTTTGAGTAACAAAAAAAACCAAACAAACAAACAAAAAAAACCTCCGCAACTCTAAAAGACACACATTATGCCCCTATCGTGGTCTAAATCAATCAGAGACAGTCAGGGGCGGGGCCTCTCTGATTGGTCATGGTCCAGATATTCCCGTAGTCCTTCGTGTGTACGTTTGAAAGTGCAGGCGGATAGAGAGAGGTGAGTAGCTTGAATAAAGCGATATCGATTCATTAAATCCTGAATCGACATTTAAATATAAACTTATTTTACCAGAAACACCAGAATCTCAGGTTAAAGCTCATAAAACTATTTCAACAACCACCAAACAGTAAATGAGAGCAGGTACACGACCAAAATTCACTGAACCAGCAGCAAACCATGCTTCACATTTGATAAACATCACCATTAATTCCCTCTTACTTTTGCTGTTTTGCTTCCACCACGATAAAAATCACACTTCATGCACAGCTCTCTCTCTCTTTCTCTCTCTCTGTGTACTTCAAGAACAGTTTCCCATCTCAAATCTGTTTTCTGCATTATTCATTCGCTTATTACCCATCAGTCTACCGTTGTTTACGGCGCTGTCGACCGCTGTTTTTTTGTTTTGTTTTGTTTACTTAACCACGTCGAACAAGAAAGACTGATTTCTGCTGTTCAATACTGAAGACATTTAAACTTTTTAAAATTATGCAAAATGCAGAATATTTTTAAGTTTATCTGCTATAAAAAGCCAGGCCAGGAAAATCTGCTTCATGTTTTTCTGAGTTTTATCCTCCGTTACTTTGACACAAAGGCCTCTGCTGTGATGTTCACATCTCTGATAAAGTCTCACAAGTGTCAGTGCTGATAAATGATCAGAATTATAATATTTCTGACTCTCTGAGGCAAAATTGAATCGAATCGGGACTTTGTGAATCGAATCAAATGGATTATAGAAATCAGTGATGATACTCAGCCCTGGTGAGCAGCCTAGGCCGAGAGGTGGATGTAGCTGTGGGTAATGAGAAAAGATGAAAAGAAGGATTGATAACTTTTTTGTTAAGTTAAGGCCTGATCCGTCTGACATTCATAGCCAGCTCTGACACGAACCCATCAACCTCTGAGCACTGAAAAAGCACAGCGTGTCCAGAGAACACATTATATGTCGTCATAAATGCACTGCCCAAGTGTCCCCACTGCCTTTCAGCGGCAGGCAGCAGCAAACAGGTCGTCAGAGGAGACCGATGTGATGATTACGTTTAACATTGGCACTCTTTGGCAATATTGTAGACAAAGCACTTTGTACAAGCACAAGATTGTTAGTTAATTAATCATTTACAAATCAATATTGTCTGTATAGACAGAAATTTCCCCCCCAAAAAAGTGCACAGGTAAAACTACAGTGTTAAGCGATGCGGTTGAAAAATTTGGGTGCGCCTAACTTTTGTGCTGGTGCGCCTAAGAAAAAAAAATTTAGGTGCACCAGTGCAACTGTGGCAAAAAGTCAGTCTAGAGCCCTGTATTCCCACAGATTTTAAGGAATTCACTGAAAGTTGGATGACGTATGTGTTGAGTTTTGCAAGAATGGAAGAGAGTGTTTTAACAAATGGCATCGTGC